AGCCCAATTTCGAGTCCCAAAATCCAAACCAATTCGTAAAATATTCAAAGCGAGCGCGACTAAATCAAAACGTTGTCGAAATAAAACGTTTGAAAATTGAATTTGGCTCGGGCGAAATTGAAAAGCATTTGTAACGGAAATGAAAATCGTTCGAGGGTGGAAACAACGAACAAAACTCGATTCCCTCTGACTCTGAATTTAAATTAAGAAATTTATCTTTTCAATGGCCTTTGTGTGTTTTGTGTGTGTGTGTGTGTGTGAGTGTGCGTCTTTGTTGTTGGCTCAAAGTAATTTTTTTCGAGCATCTCCCACCTTTTTTGGGAACATAAAACTAAATGAATTCCATTCCTTTGTTTTGGCAAGCGTTTTCGCTTCGGGTTCTAAGATTGAAATCAACGCAAACTTGAAACTCGATACTTTGTTTGCTTTTTATTAAATTATAAATTTATATGCGGTGAAAACGAGTCTCATGAAGTTATTAAAATTAGCGTTTGATATACATTTAATCTCGCCGTTTTGCACCTCCCTTAACGATTTGTACTTCAGTTGAGAGCAACGATTTTGAGCTGACCAAATGGCTTTTATGGCCGACTTCATGGCTAATAAAAATTTGCATTGTTCGGACCGCAAGTATTTATTTCTACTGGCCGAAACCAGATCGGTTGGCCAAGTCCGCCGCTTTCATAAATTAGCTATCCAACTGCCACGAGAATTAGCATAAAAATTACGCTTCTTAAAGATAAATACCTTAAATTGGTTGTTATTTAGAAGTCAATAACATAAATTCGAAAAGCAAATAATGCCATTTGTCAATGGGATTACGAATTTGGGTCTGCAATATTTTCGCAGGTTTTATTGTTCCCTGAGCATCTGAAATGAGCCGATTCGGCAATTTGTCGTTCGGTATAATGAAATCATGTGTTAATGAGTAATACTTAATTTTGTGCATAATACGTAAATTAAGTGGGTTAGTGCTTTCTGGGAATATCTTTTTGACTATATGAACTAACCATATATATATGATATATATTATATGATATTTAATAATAATCCCATTTAAAATGTTATTTTAGTTCACTCAAAATAAGACTTAAATCTATTTAGTATACTATCTTAAGTCATCCCTGAACCCATTTAACACTTTCCATTTAATTTTCAATTACAGAGCACTCAGTGTGCAAATAAATTGCCTCTCCATCCGATTTGCACCCCAGGACATTGTATATTACACAACTCTCGAGGACCGTTCTCCATTTTGGGCACATTAAAAATTCAGAGCGCGTTGAGGTGAGTCCACAGGCAGCATGTATTATATGTGTGCTACACATTATTTATGGCAGCCTCGGAGTTTGGGAGTCCGTAATCAAAACTGAGATTCAGATGCTGATGATATGCGAAGCGGGGAATTGTGTCAGTGGGCCGGCAAAAGGGTAGCTGAAGGATATTTGGGGCAGTTGAACAAAGCAGAGGCCCTCGGCCAATTTGTGCCATGTGTGTGCGACGTGTCCCTTTCGCCTTTTGCCTTCTGCCTTTCGCCGCTCGAGTGGCACAAATGTAAGGGCCAAAACAGAGGGCAAAAAACCAGATACTGGCACTGACCACCGGCCAATGACCGGACCTGGAACCTGGAACCAGAAGGCCTGAATTCCAACTCGAGCAGCAGCTCATTTGCATTTTCGTCAGCGGAGACAGGGAAAGTGCTTCCAAATTGCCACTCCATGTCCTGCGTTTTTCTACTTCTATTTCTATTTCCATTTGTGAGTCTGTTTTTCGTGTCGTTTTTAATTTCGGATGCCAGTTGGTCTGTTGGTTTTTCTAATTAACAAAGAAATTTTCCATTTCGTAAGTTTCATTCTTTTTTAGGTGTTATTTATCGTTTTTGATGCCGCCCGACCTTTTGACCTCTCGCCATTTGGGTTGCTCAGAAACTTTTGTCTATTGGTGGATGAATTATGCCTAAACAGCGATAGCCATCTAATTAGATGAGTTATGGCGCCGGCATAACGCCGAGTATCTGGCTTTCGGATAAGCGTTTGCCGCCTAATCCCGCCCCGGGGCTAAAACCCAAGCCCGAACCAAAATCGGGCCCAGAGATAGTGAAATAGTCCGACTTGGGCTCGGGGGATTTATGAGCTCGCATTTTGCATAGTTTGCAATAGCACAGAGACCGAACTTGGACACAATTCATTTTCCCCGCCACAAATCTCCCGTTTTGCATTCAGCGGCCATGAATCATGACCAAAGGGGAGGATTGTGGGCTTGGAAAGGCAGGTTTAAAAGTTGAACTTCCCACAATGGGATAGTAAATGTTTAAACATACAAAAATTGTGTTCAATTAAAAACATACTGGACAACCTAAAATATTTTGAAGTGCAATTTTAAAGTAACTTTAAACATATGAAAGAAAAGAAAACTTTAAAAAGCAACTTGATTTACAGACTTTGATAAATATTTTTAAAACAAGATATTTATCGATTAGATTAATAAATATGGTATGGTACAAGATAAGGGTACAATGTAGAAGGTACAAAATGTGCACATTATTTCTTGTAATTAAATGATTAGAGCTATTTATAGTTAAATGATAACACAAGTTTTACTGGTATGGATCCCGAATAATACATATATTTCTCCAAATTATATATTTATTAAAATCGTATAATCTTTTCTGGATCTTGTTTTTTTTAATTCCTATTCCCAAAATTGACCCCTTCAATCGAGGATGTTAAATTGCAAGATGGGTCATAATCAAAATTTCCCACTGTATTGCACTGTAACCCGTTAAATGCAAAACCTTCTCGTGGATGGCCAGAACGGTCAGTTTCGGGTTGCCGTTGAATGGCATCGGAATTTATGCACATTTTATTGACCAGTTCGGGGAGAGAAAAGAACGGAGCGGAGTCGAGAGTTGTTTGTTGGGCCAACAACATGTCCGAAAGTGTTTTATGGCCGTTGCGGGCACTCGAGTGGCCATTTTGGGTCGATCTGGGGATCTGGGGATATGGGGATATGGGGATCTGGGGATCCGGAGGGACATGCACTGGCATATGCACTTTCTGGACTTGTCCGACAAGCACTTCTCCGCCGAGGAGACGAGGGGCTCTGAATACAGATGAGCCTTTGGCAAGATGAGTGTTGTACTAAATACTAAACACCCGCCACTATTTGCAACTCTGTCCGCTTTGATTTATGGCATTCGAGAGCGGCTTAAAGGGGCTTTAAACTAAGCCGGTAAGTGGAATTAGTTTAAGTTGCCGCTGGCGAGTCAACGACCTGCGACAAAGCGGTTCAAAGTCAAAAAGTCAATTATACGGATACCTAAAAATACATCGGCGGGGCTGGAGTGGAAATCTCGTTAAAAGCCAATAACAGACGCCATTAAATGTGCATGAAAATTAAATGAAAACGGCTTGATGAGGTTGCCTGCGGGAGGAGAAAACGCGAGGGAAGCCACGCGACCACTTGAACTTGGGCGGGAATATCAGTTCTTGTGTGCCGTAATTCGAATTTCGAACTGACCTCGACTGTTCCAATTGGAGGGCAAGTTCAATGGCACTCGGGCTCCTAATGGGGATTCCACGGGGGAGTGGCAATCAAAGGCCGCCCCGAGATAAGAACTTTCCGATAAGTTTAATTTATTCGAGCCCACTGCCATCTGTTGCGATGCCAACACTTATTTAATCAACGCGATAGGCGTGAGCTCTACACTCATTATAAATCCGGCATAAAAATATTGAAAGTGGAGAATTAAATTAAAAATGGGTAAGCGTAGTGTTTTTATACGGGACTTAATGGGTTTATATGTTAAATTTGGTTGATTTAAATAGAAGATGATACCTCACGCAGGAATAATACGATTGTATCTTTTTATACCCTTGCAGAGCAAAGGGTATTATAATTTCAGTCAGAAGTTTGCAACGCAGTGAAGGAGACACCTCAGACCCCATAAAGTATATATATTCTTGATCAGCATCACCATCTGAGTTGAAATATGTATGTACGTCTGTCCGTCTGTCCGTCTGTCCGTCTGTCCGTCTGTCCGTCTGTCCGTCTGTCTGTCTGTCCTCCTGTCGGTTTCTATGTAAACTAGTCTCTCAGTTTTAAAGCTATCTCGCTGAAACTTTCCCAAAAGTTGTGTAGTTGTTGCACGCAGTATATATGTCGGAACGAGCCGGATCGGGCGACTATATCGGATAGCTCCCATACAAGAGAATGAAATAAAAAAATTTTACACCGTTGTTTTTGATCAGATCGACTTCATTCCTTCCAGATGGCGTTTTCTAACTGCTATTGAATTTCGGATTAAATTTTATCAAAATCGGATAACTCTATCATATAGCTGCCATAGGAGAGATCAAAAAATATATATATAAATAATGGAAAAAAAATTATAATGTCGTTGTTTTTAATGCCACTAGCATGATTTTTGGAACATAAAGTTTTTTAAATACTCTTAAGTTGAGAAAAAAATTTCATAAAAATCGGAGTACTTTATCATTTAGCTGCCATAGGAAAGATCGAAAAATCTATATAGAAATAACGGAAATATAATTATAACCTCGTTGTTTTTCATCAGACAATAATGATTTTTGGAATAGAGTTTTCTAATGAGTCTTGAGTTATAAATTAAATTTCATTAAAATCGGACGACTATATTATATAGCTGTCATATGAACAATATGGAAAATTAATAGAAAAATCTTCATAGCTTCGATGCTCTTTAGTTTTTATGTATTTTGTTCGACATATTTAGTAACTGCAAGGGTATATAAGCTTCGGCTTGCCGAAGCTAGCTTCCTTTCTTGTTTAAACTACAATTCAACAGAATTACTTTTATGAATTTTCAAACACAAAATTTGAACCATATACAAACTAATCTTACAAATCTTAAAAATCGATCAATAGAAAGGACTTGGAACTGATACACATTTAAACGTTCACATATCACTAGAACTCTGTGTCTAGAAAATCAATGCGAGTATTTATATATTTAAATATATGATTTCAGTACAGATTTAGAAATTACACAAACTAGTCAGCTCACTCCCAGTCGCAAAACACTTTATAATACACGACACACGAAAATAATGAATCGCATACTGGAGCAGGTGATCCACCAGAACGGAACCATGGTGGATCGCATACTGTCGGATCACACTTCGGGATATGTGGTCTCCGACAACATGGCCAATGCAGTGGCTGAATCATCTTTCGATAATACGAGTGCCACGGCGATCGTCAAGCATTTGAACGGACTCTTTGTGGGCATCTGCCAAAGTACAGTTCGGGATATTGACCCGGAGAACAAACTGTGCTTCATTCGACTGGCCACCCGGAAATTCGAGTATTTGATAGCCCCTGAGGAGTACTTTACCATCACAGTTGTTCAGTGAGGAAAATGCAAGCCGTCAGTAGAAAAAATCATTAAATGGCCATTTCCTTAACCGTGAAGATTCAAAAACCAATGAAAAGTGCCAGGACTTTTTGGGAAAAATCTTCTAAAATGTGGCGCACCTTCTAGAATATTGTTTCCAAAATTTCTTGGCAATCTCTAGTCACTAGAATTTTGTTTTCCAATATATCACCAAAACAAACATTATGAACATTTAAAAAAAAAAAAAAAAATCTAAATATTTCTGTATTACCTTAAATGCCTATTTTTTTATTTAAAATAGGTTCTCAAGATATTCTAATTTATAAGTGCTTATATACGTTGAATACCAATGAGGTAAAAGTGAATTGTCGATCAATGTTTCTGGTCTAAGAAATACTTTGAATATGGGGTGGCTATGGTCTTGAACCCTTTCAAATGCCAAACAAACACAGGAAGAATGCTTAAATCAACAGGGCTGCCCGAAAATCCTTTATAATGCCCCGGCGACGTTCCGATCTCGATTATTTACGACATGGCTTCATCGGCCCGGGAATCTATCTATGTATGAACATATATCTGTGAGAATGCGGCATCTAATGCGATAATTCAGGAGATTTACTTCTGTCAACATGACCATTTTGTCCGCTGGATCGGAGTTTCGGGGTGGAATCGTTGCGTAGCGTGGCCTTTGACCTTTTTTCCGTTCCTTTTGCCTTTGCTTTTGCTTCTGCGCTTCCATCTTGATGCCACAATGGAGGCTGGCTGCTATTTTAATTTAAAATGGCAGGACTCGTAACTCATTTTTACGACGCACCCTCCGGGCAGATGAATGTGTGTGCGAGCGAGTGTGTAGAGTATCTTGTCCTATTTTTACAGATCCCTTTGCAGGGGTTGCTATTGCTCCTCGCCGGCAACAATAACTTATCTGGCCTTTTTACCCGACTTTCAACCCGAGTCCATAATCACCACGAGACGCTCCTGGGGTGCTTTGTGCCCCGGCAGCTATCTTTAAGCAGTTTCCCATTGTCTGGCGTCGTTTTGTGGTGCTGGGTAAATATGAATTCGTACAAATTTTACTGAAACTTTATTCAACCGGCTCACAATGGACCAACTTCGATGGTGGCAAGGTCGAGCGATTTTTCCCCCATTCCTCGGCTGTCAGAATTGCGCACTTCATCTGAGGCAGCGTGAAATGAAATTACTCCACGGTCCATTCGGAGTGACGACTTTATTCGTGCGAAATTATCAATGCCCGGGGAAATTAGAAACACTTTGAATTAAATTCGAATAAAACGTTTTTCGAAGAGGATCTCCATGGCCAACTCACTCACATTTCATATCTCTCGTTTTATGAACTCGTCAGGCGGCTACCGTTCCCGTCTCCCGGTGTTCACTGTACGGGTGAGCCAGCACGCTCTATGAATTCAATTAAGTTGTGCCGCAAACCTGAAAGTGAAGTTGCAACGCCACTCTGAGGCAACGAATGTGATGAATACTCAAGCGCAACATCTGCCAATTCCTCGAAAGTAATTTGAATATACGTAAGCACTTATATATTTATTTATTAATTTACGTTAATTTATTCGGACTAAGTTGATTTTAATAAGAACGAATATGGTTTTTTTTTTTAAGTTTTGGCTGTTTTGTCAACACGTGTAACCTCCTTAAAAAGGTTTTTTTCTGGTTTAAAAATGAATATAAATGTCAAAAATGTACAAATATTCTGGTCAGCTAAAAAATAAGCATCTAAGTGGTTCAGTTATATACGTGAATTTTGGAACAAAAAAAAAAAATTTTTTAATTTTAAAATTTGTTCAATTATGAAAATAGCTAATACTGCATAAATAGTTTGAACAACATTTCATTTTATTGTTAAGATTAATTCAACGGTTAAAATAAAAAAATTAGTTTAAATGAAAAATTGAAGAGCATGAAACTATTAAAAATTTTATATAATGATACATCTGAATCATTCTGAATTTTATAGTTTTACCGCCGTCGGCTATCTGCAAGAAAAGAAAAAGAGAGCAGCTCGAAGAATCGAGGAGAATGAGCGCCTTGAAATACTCACTCAAACGAAAAGGCCAAGCCCATTTTCATGCTGGTGGTGGTGATGAAATGCTGGATTTTTTCTGGCTCGTTCAACCACCGCGTCACATTTCCAGTTTCGACTCGCTGCGGCGCAGACGTCGCTCGAAGGGGCGGATGAGCGATTTCTTGCAAGACGGTTAAATCACCAAACAAATCGAAGAATCATTACCAGAGCCAGAAAGAAATGATAAGCTTGAACCTGCATAAGTATTTTATTTCTAGATCCAGTGAAGAATTATTTAAAAACAAGAGTATTTGCTGTAATAAACTTACATTTACTCCGTTTAAAAGTCAACGGAAATAAAAAAGGAGCTGCATATATTGCTCGGCAGATGGCAGCACTGTTTCAATTGCGCCATCTATGGGTTCTGTCAGCCATAGTTTGAGAGTCAGTCGGAGTGTCCAGTTTTAGAGCCACTGTTACTCCTTTGAAGTTTTTCTATGTTACGTAACATATGTTAATATTTAATGTTATTATATCTTTTATAAAATATAAAATGTGCGACTATTTCAATGAGGAAGAACTTAAGAAGAATTTTGTTTTCGTGCTTACCACAAGGTTAGTTTTGGTCATTCTATTTTTATGAGATAATGATTTATTGGGGTTTAATGGAGACGACTAAACGAAAAATGTGCAAAATTAAATTTGTATTATAGCGTTACCAAATTCCATTACTATTACTTAATAATTTTTTTTGTATAAATTTCTAAAACGATTCGGACAACCAATATAACAAGACACTTTCCTTCCAACCACAAAACAACTTTTCCCAATTTAGTTGGCCAATTTTAAATGGGGCATTCCAGAGTTTTTTTTTATATTGGCTCTTTGTGCATTTTCCCGCACCGCTTTACGATCGACATCTACTGGCGAGTTGTTAGGGGTCAACGGAGCATATTGCCAATCAAAGACTTCAATTCAATTTCCCCGACTTGCCGAGACGATAATGGCAATGGGGCATAAAGCCAAGTGCGGGTGTTGCAGCGCAAACGATTCCATTCAAAATCGGAGCAATCAAAGCATCAAGATGTCAGTAAACGCGGTTAAGACAACAAAATTACTTTGAGCATCGTTAGGGCCACGATTCCGGCTCAAAACTTGGGGAATTCTCCGGGGACGCTGAAGGGGAAAAACATGAAAATCATCTTTCAACGCGATGCGCTTTCGACATTCGCAGCTTGGAGCCATCGCCATCCGGCAAAAACAGAACACCAATCGCAATCAGGGGAAGAGAAGGTGGGCGGCAGAGGGCTCCCAACAGGAGTCTCTGGCCAAGAGTTGCACATGTGATGGCCAGGAAAATAAGGCAAAAAATAAGGAGAGATCCAAGCCATAACAGAGACAGCCAGCAAGTGCAGAGAAAGGAGTCGAGGAGCCGAAGACTGCTTTTCATTTGGCTGCCGGCAATGTCCATCCAGTTAGGAATCAACTGGTTTTCTTGGCGGTATGTGTACATATATATACTCCCTGATTCAGCCCTCTTCACTAAAAACCCGATTCGTTATCAGGGCTTGATGAGTCTGTATAACAGAGCACCATATAGTACAAAATATATATCATAAGGAATTTAGCAGTTAATCATTATAGTCTTACCTAAAATCTGTTAGTGGAAATTTATTTCTACATATACCAAATATATAACAAACTTTTATTTAAGTGAACTGATATTTAAATAAACAAATATTTAAGAATATATGTATGTATACCTTTTATTCAAACAAAAGCCATTATTAATTTTAAATTAGTAAATTATTAACTTTTATTATTAAGTTTTCATTTGTTTTAGAAATGTATTACTACTGTAAACTATTTTTAAGTTATGCAACTTTAAGGTTGATTTTAATACCACTATCATTTTATAATTAACCTTAAGAGACTGCAAACTTTGGTTATAGTAAATAAAAAAACATATAGAATACATTGATGCTTATTATTATTAATGAATAGCTTCTTTTGTGTGCCATAATCCACGATATGGATAGTATTTGCTCAGTGCCTTTGTTTGGATGCTCCACTCCATGCAATCGAGAACCACCCACGCCACAGTGACTTCTGCACCACCCCGAAATCCTGCCCCACTCGTCCGTGGAGTCGACTCCATCTAAGCTGATGCAACACCGATACAGATACGGTTCCATCGCTCCTCGCTCGACTCTTTCCGTCTCCTTCTCTCGCCGTATTGCTGTCCTTCTCTTCGCCTCATTGTTCGTCTCGGTTCAGTTTGGTTTGGTTCCGTAAATTACACTTTTGATTTTTAGTGGCCGTAAAATAATCGTAAATGTCGTGGTTATTGCGACCGAAAGTGCCCATTTTGAGTGCTCCCCTTCCAGCGCTGCCCCTCTAACTGATATTTTCGCTCAGTGCAGCTTGTCGATGTCGGTTGGGACGTGCTGCCACTGCCCAAACAGCACGAATGCCCTCCAGTGCAGCCAGTTTTTTTTGGGTTGGAAAAAGCCAGTTTTGAATTTATGCCTTAACAGAAATATAAATAAATTAAATAATAAATTAGATTTCTTAAATTGGTAAAACTCCTGTTTTTTGAAAGGTTATTTAATTGGTATTTAGTTATCCTTTATTTAGTTTACTTCAAAACAAGTTTACTTTTTTTATAGTTTAGTTAAATGAAACCATTCCTTTTTTAATATTAAACCTAAATTACTTGAAAATGCTAAATTGATTCGGGCTAATTTCGGTTGATCCCAGAACTAAAAAAAATACAGACATTTAGTAAGTTAATAATAGTTTAATATTAAGTTGTTTAACCTAACAAATATAAAGTAAATATATTCTCAAAAACAAATACATATGTATATAAATTTCTTACCTGCAGTGCATTTTGTTTTAAAAAAGCCAGCTTGAGTGTCAATCAATCCAAGTTGGCAACACCGATACCCTCCGTGTCTTCCCCCTCCTCTTTCCTCCCCCGCCACCTTCCCCTTTGGGCCAACTCGCTAAGCAAGCTGCACTTGTTGTTTTTAATAAGTTTCTGGTTGTTGCCTTTTCGTTGTTGTTGCTGCCGCTGTTGTGGCTGGCTTTCTTCCTTTGATGTTTCGATTAAGTTCGGAGTTCGCGTTGCCGAACTGGTTGGTTTGGTCTTCCCAGCCCACTTATCGCCACCCCCCTCGCCCCTTTACGACCCCCTTCCCTCGGAGGGAGCATTTTGGCTTATGTTTATGGCCATTTCGTTCGTTTCACTGTCTCTGTTTTCTGGCGCAGCTCCTCGTTGGCTTGATTTTCTTGAGCATTTCACCCATTTGCCATTTAGCATTTACCATTTACCTTTGCTTGTTTTTGGGCTTGTGCTGGAAATTTTCTCACATCGGCCGCTCTGACGCAACTGGTTGCTTATTGGCCCGCTCGCCACTTGGCTAATGCCCCCCGCTACCCGCTCCTCTGAACTCCTTTTCCACCGCCCACCGCTCGCAAATTTCAAATTTGATTTTATTGTTATGATTTCAATTGTTTTCGCAACGTAAACACTGGAGATTTCCAGAGCAGACCATGTCGAGTTGTTGGTTAAATAATTCTTAATTTTTATTGCCCTCCGCCAGGGAGATTTTGCATTTAGCGAGAACTGTTTGAGTGACTCAGACTGAGGAGTTTTGAACAAAAGGAAACTACATCAAGATTATCTAAGTTCTCAAAGGAGTATTCAACAGCTTTCAAATAAAATGAAAAAGCTTCCAAACAAAAACAAAGAGATTATTATATTGGAACACACGTATTTAATAATTTATTTAATGAAACTAATTGAGAACTTCTCGAGAAAATATAAGTTAAACGTATAAATTATATGAAAGAGAATAAAACGTTATTCATAATTTTTAATTAGTCACAATATAAACTCAAATTTATTGGTTCTCATTATTGTTGGCCAGCTTATTAGCATTCACAGACAGTTGCCACACACCAGTCACATTAAAACGCCCAATTTCACGAGAGGCAATTACTCCCAGACACCGCTGAAGATGATCGCTATACCAATATGCTCCGGTAATCGTTTTGAGGCCAGGCCCTCCCAGAAACCGAAGGTCGCCTTCCCGAAACTACAAAAAGTAATAGATCGGGGAAGAAACCCAGAGTCGAAACAAAATCAATTCATAAATCATAAAAATGTGTCATAAAAAATATTGCAGCCATAAATGGGAAATGGAAATGGTAATGCTGCCTTTCAACATGTCCTCGAGTCTCGAGAATGTAAAAAAAGATACTTTTTAGCTGACCTTAGGAGATTTGTTTTGACTCGTTGTTATCGCCGAGCCGCCGAGTTGCCGATCCCAAAAAAGGACACCCAGGTATTGTCTGACTTTGCCAGTTCGATTATAGCCGGCTCGGTAATAAATCATAAAAATATTCCTCGGCAGAACAGAATCGGGAATGAGGCATAGGCCTCTCGTTACACGGTGGATTCGTAAATCCCCTGTAAAATTGGTGGTGTCCCTCCGTAGGTAATACTTGTATATATAGTATGTTGCTCATTCGGACCGATCGCGCCCTCGGGCATCTGATAACAAAACCACCAGCATGGCCAATGGCCCGGGAAAACAAAGGGCCAACAACTTTCTCTTTTGCGCCAGACGATTCGGGCCGCATTCATCCTTGCCAAATATGAGAATTTTGATTTATCTCCCAAAAACATATTTTCAGCGGTGGCTGTTTGTTTGGCTGTCAGTGGAGGCGCCTGGAAATATTTCCATGTATCTGCATTTTCCTCTGGAGAGCGTCTAATTGTGTTTTTGGGATCAATAGTTGGCTGGGCAAATTATCAGCTCTTTGTTTGATTAATTGTATGTATTTTTATAATGTTTCCAATTTTATGAATTGAATATAAAGTTGGATAACCAATTTATCAGTTCTTTGTTTTATTAATTGCATTTATTTCCAAGTTTATATCTTTATATTTAGATGGATATATACTTGGATAACCAAACTAACAGTTCTTTGTCTGATTCAATGTATATATTTTTTTAATATTCCCCTACCTACTATTATGTAGTAAAATTATGAATTAAAATTATGAAGTAAAATACTTTTCTGTTTGATTTCTAGTACACCATCACTTCCCATTGGACCGAGATGACTTCATTTTCATACCATATGACTACAAATGTCAGTGCTGTACTTGTGGTGCCACCCGCTCGTTCTTAAGTTGCTGCCATGATTTACTACAAGCAGATGATTTAATATAACCGCATATATGGATATAGACACACGCACACACCCGTCCATCCCAGAGTGCACTTCAGATGCATTCGACTGCATTGGAAACTGGAACCCGTTGAACAGGCCCAGAATCACAAAGTCACAAAATCAGAAACACGTGTTGCCAGTGAAGCGTCCGTTTTGGAGGAAAACCGGGACGACAGTTCAGGTTCCTCCATCTTGAAAACTGATGCCTCTCCAAAGCGGTTGCTAAGTTGAGAAATTCATTTGGAAAATGTCATTGCACAAGTAAATGTATTTTATATGTTAAAATTGAGTTAAATTTAAATAATAAATATTAATTACATAGTTCTCAGGGTTAAATGGAAATTTGCAACTAAGTTGAATTCCATAGCCAAGTGCTGAAAAATTCATTTAATTACCCCTTATTTTTGTTAATTATTTCAAGTGCTTATACATTTCTAACACAAATCTAGTCAAAATATGCAAATGAAGCCAATACAGTAGTATTAATTTTAACATTCCGAAGTACCAATAAAAAAGCTGTAAAAACAAATTGTACAAAATATGGCTACATTTATGGCGCCATCGAAGCGGGCTTCCTCGAGTCCGTAAATCAAGGCGTCAACGAGCTGCGACCTTGCGAGGGCCCTCGCATCAAGATGCTGGCCAAATCCGACGTCAAAACAAATCGTTAAAATGCCATAAAAGCCACAGCCATATGCAATCACAAACTGAGGAAGGCAAATGCATTCGAATAAAATTTTACCGCCATTTCCTCGGGCATCATCAGCATCGGCGGCATCAAACTAACGGCGGCAGCATCCGAGGCACCTCGTAAAAGCGATGATGTCTATGGGCCATCAGCAGCTCGCAGATACATTTGTATCTACGCGAAGGGGATATCACAATAATTATGGCATACGTCACGGAGATTGTTTTTTATGTCTTTTATATTGATTGTCGGCGTGTCACACTAACAGATCGTAAAAAGGTCGTAAAGTCCGCTGACTCAACTCGAAAATCTCACTCATTTGCCGAAATGAACACGCACATCCCTCGATGCTCTCAGGATCACAAAAGGACACTCGAACCTGGGAACTGGGATGCTAAGGATGTTCGGATCGCTGCCGCATTGAGTGAGTCTCAGCAGCGGATTTCTGCCACTCAAGTGGCGGTGGCGGTGGCGTCAAGTCGTAAAAAGAACATAAAACTTCGGCCTGTGCTTGGTATTAACCGCAATTTGTTTATATAGTTGTTAAAATGCCATTCTATCTTGTTCCGCTCTGTTCTGCTTAGCATTTAATTGCCGACTGCCGGTTTTCTTTTTACGAGCCAATAAAATTTATTTTACGACTATTTAAATGGTTTCATTTGCTATTTGGTAGTACGACAAAGGTACGAGGGCTGGATTTGGCAACAGGTTCTTTAGTATCATGTCACACTACTTAACTGTTTGCTTTTTTATTAGCCATCACTAAGTGGAGGGCTCAATCCAATACATATGTTAGCCACTTTA